CCTCACGGCCGCCAGATTGCAGCATTACTTAGAAACTTCCCTTATTACCTTCAAGTACTACTAGATCCTGGTGGTCCGTGTTCACAACATAGCAGCATAAGGCGAGACTCGAATGCAAATTGAACACACACAGGAAGTTTGAAAGTGGAGAGAGGAAAAAACTGGTTCCAATATATGTAAATGGCCTCGAGATGAGATCACATGGGTGACGTCACAAGTGTATACCCACGCAAAGTAACCCCAAAACAAAGCTATCCAAAATAGCACAATATTCAAGCGCATGAATTAACAAGCGAACAAATTATTCTGTAAATTTGGGTGGGAAAAATACGCGCTGCAGTAACACAAAAAACTCTTGTACACTTCTACTGCACAGCTATTGGTGATATCGTTGCTGTCATTACACTTAAGAATATATTATTATTCCGTAAAGACCCTTATTAATGTAAGAGTTGAGGTTTTCACAGCGGTGAGTCTGAAGATTGCTGTCATCTGGGTTGTTGCGCCGTGTAGTCTGGTAGATGTCCACCAACGTTCCAGAGGTCATGTTCCGTCATCATGACCTCTGAAACGTTGGTGGATATGTACGAGACTACACGGCGCAACAACCCAGATGACAGCAATCTTCAGACCCTTATTAAAATAAATCACAATAGCTCGAACATTGAAGTGGCTGGTCGATAGGCGGTTCGATCACCTGTTAAGTGGAGCTGGATCGCGCAACACACAAGAGGTCAGTGTTATTTTATTTAGTGTTCTGTCTGACGACAGGTCCATATGAACAGGATCCTTCCATCCTTTTCTCGGACTGGGACCTGTTATATACGTTCTTGGCAGATGATCCAGAAGTGGTTTGCCATTGCCTTCTTCTGTGTGTGAATGGAGTAATTGTTGGGATGCTACGGAGAAACCGGGGAAGCCCCCGGAGGAAAACTTCGTGTTGCCTAGACCACGGCCTTGCCCAACACAAGTTATAAATTCGGGCACCGCCGGGAATCGAACCCGAGAACCCAGGATTACAAGGCCAGCGTTCTAACCACTAGACCATCGTGGCGGGCAGGTCAGTGTTAGGTAAGACTAATTAAGGACGGCTGCCTTCTGGGATGCTGTGTTTTGATAACTGTCTGGTGCTTACTGCCTCCACCATCAGGGCAATTGCAACATTCCAAGAGGACAGAAATATCACCAAGAATAATTCAAAGTTTCTCTTGTTGTAAATTAATATTATGACACCTGTCTCGGGTATTTAACCATTTCGTCCGTTCTGTAGCAACTAGAGATGTATTCTGGGACAATTTATTGATTTATGGACGTACATCTATCTGCATTAAAATACAGAATATGCGGGTGTCCTGCACACACATACAAACCCTTTGTTTTACGAAAGCAACACTATCGCTGAACAAAAAATAAACAGGCCTACACGAAAACTACTTTCCAACAATTCAAAGATGGTACGTACTAATAGAGTGACCTAGGATAGTCTAATATTGATACAGTATATTTACCTGTCACTAAAGGAAGGTAAACAGCAGCTAATGCTCCGGTCTAGCTAGTAGTGAGCCGTCAGACCACTAGAACTCGAGAGGATCATGAAAGAAGTGTTCTACTGCATAACGCAACAGCGGCATATTATTATTATTATCCCATCTATTCATCACTTTATGGGGTATGTACTTCCATGTACCCGAGACAGACCTTAGGGCAGCAGCTATTTCCGGAATACATATTGTTTTTAGCAAGTGCCACATGTATTATATAATTTTATTTTATGAAAGCGTCTTTCGGATGATGTTTGAAGTTCCCAAAATGGCGGTCTTCTGCAGTTCCCTGACGTCGTGTTCGCCCGGGATGTTGGCCAAATATTTCCTGAGCGACCTGGAGACAGTTCCTGTTGCCCCTATAACTACTGGGATTACTTTTGCTTGACCTTTCCACATTCGCTGTGTTTCAATGAGAAGGTCCTTGTATTTCAAGATCTCCTCTGCTTCATTCTTAATCACATTCCTGTCAGTCGGTATTGCTATTTGGAATTATATCAGGTTTATTATTTGGAATAGTTCTATTTTTTATCTTGATTTCACGAAATAGTTATTTTGATATTCTAACTTGTCTCAACTGCTTTCAGGGTGTGTTCATGTTTATTGCTATTGTTATTATTATCATTATCATCATCATTCCATCGATTCACCATATTACAGGGTATTTACATCTATGTACCTGAGACAAACCTTCCCCTGAGGTAGATAATGCAGCAGCTATTAATGAAATACATTTTGTTTTTAATACGTGTTACAATTTATTGTGAGACATGACTATAAATACTATATATTTTACATGAGCGTCTTTCGAATGATACATGATGATCCCAGATTGACGGTTTTCTGAGGTTCCCTAATGTCGTGTTCGCCCGGGATATTGGCCAAATATTTTTTGAGTGACTTGGAGACAGTTCCAGTTGCTCCCATAATTACTGGAATTACTTTTGATTTATTATCATAATTATCATTAAAATACCTCAGTATTGTGGTATGATTGCCGCAATTGCGCACAACCTGATTTATAGACAATGAAAGTAAATATGTAACTTCTTCAAATTCTTGCTACTATTCCCTTCAGAATCTTTATACCTTGCTGTCAATTATTTAAAAATCTAAAGATCAAAATATGCACAATATGTAGTTGTACCTGTCCCATAACAAGGGTTATGTTCAGAAGTGTACATAAAACCTAGGAGTCACGTTCATCATTGTAAATGTAACCAACGGACTTAACAAATGTCAGTGTCAAATGTCAATATCATAACAAGGGAGTTGCAGAACAAAATGCAGAGGAGAACATTTACAACAAAGAGGGAGGGGATAAAAATAACATTTCACAATTTCGTAACAATTAGGTCTCAAAAATTTATGCAAAAACAAATACAGTGAATGGATGTCAATGGGGTTGGTAAGGCTGGAATCACACACGGTTTTCAAGTCGTTTTGTCGCACAGAAAATCCGCTTTGCATCCCGAAAGAACGGTATTACGTTTTAAATTAGATAAAGCAAAAATCTCTTGTATGACGTTCAGAGGTCCCTGCTGCCTCCATCATCAGGGGGACTCATCGCCCTGATGATGGGGGCAGCAAGTACCTCAGAAAAATTGGCAAACTTCTACCAGACTACACAGCGCAACAACCCAGAAGACAGCCATCTTCAAACTCACCGCCGTGAAAATCTCAAATACTACTACAACGGATTCCGGTTAACTGGGACACATCGGGACTAGAACACTTTGGCCCAATTAAGAGGCTGCCCAAATTATGCGACGTTTCACTTGAATACTTAAAAGGGTTTGTTCTTTCAGATTTGTCCCAGATAATCGGCCGCCCCGATTAACCGATGGTCCAGTTAACCGGAATCTACTGTACTTCCTTCAACATCGGAAATTGCAGTAGTGAGTGTGTGAGAATAAAAAATCTATACAAACTTGTGCAAGTGACCTGCTTGTAAGAGGGTGGCAATTTTAGCTTGGGAATCGAGTCACATATCACGAGTCGACTTCGAAATACCTTGGCCGAATTTCGATTCCCTCGACGCCATGAAGAATGCTAATTATGCGCAGCTACAGTCGTGTATGAAAATTACTCCTCATGCAGGAGAGGTTGAACTCAAAGTTTATAACATTCATAACTCGTTTCTGTACTACGGTAAAAGCATCCAGTAGAATTTCAATTTATTCATGTTCTACCCCAAATACTTTCTGAATTTTTTTGCAGGTTCTACCTCTTTTGTGATACTTTCCAGAAGAAGCTAACCGTCAAGACACACGTTGCTATGGAAATACGCAATAGATGACAGTGACGAAATGGGGCCATAAATAATATGAAAACTGTATGGCTTCCATGTGGATAAAATTAAATTAATTTAAAAGTATCGTTGTCTCTCTCTTCATATGAGAGACAAGACAATGGGTTTTCATGGCGGCCCACACTTTACAAAATACCCTAAAGCATTAGTCCATCTTGGACACCAACAAAGCAGATTTATTTACTTACCTAGCAGGCTAATAGTTTTACGTACAACGATAAAACTGACAATTTCACAAACAACAAATTTCGGATTAACAGCCATAATCAGACCCATTTTACGATAAATCTGTAAAAATCTTCTTCATACACAGCCTACACTATAGTACTAATCTATTGGGCTTCATTATTAGAAATATCTGATTAAGAAAATAATATTTATAGGCAATACAATTAAAATATTCTGTTTTACAATGTAAAAATTAGTAACTAGACTCCACTAAGGACGGTTCTTCGAAAAATTAATGGTTGCTCAGCTGGTCAAAAAATTGACTGATTCAATGTTGTTAAATTGACCGCGTAATAGTCTTTATGCGGTGAAGTCAGCAGTAAATAATAAGAATACAAATTAGCAGGCATATACACTATAATACTTTCATACATTTAACGAGAACCACCTGAATATGGCCAGTTACGGTCAGAACGTGTAGTGGATTCTTAAAAAAACATTTCAACTACAATAAAGAATTGTTGTGTAGACGGAATGTCAACCTGGCGTTCAAAACACAACAGGATGCATCCCTTAAAACTGCCACTGCATACTACAGTAAGTAAATCTAAGTCAGAGAATTCTTCCATCATTTTCTGTTTCGGATGGAATCTTTGCATAAGAACCTGCTTAATTATTCCGTGGTATTACTCCAGTGCCACATTACCTAACAGAGTCGCGGGGGATTTAATGGGTACGGTAAAAATGTCAGCGCTAAAGTTCAGGTCAGGTTAAGATGGCACTCGTGGACATCCACTGCGGTTCAGAAATTATCCATATCGAAAGTTGGGCCTTTTTAATCTGAATGAATATGTGTAAATGCCATCACTCACGTGTTACAGAGATCACCCTGACACAAGCTACGAAGCGTACGATGAAGCAAGGAGGACTTTCGGCTTTATTAATAATGTCTGTCATCCAGATGACATGCATTTACTCACCTGCTCTGTGAACTCTGAGAGGTCTCGGAGGCTAATGTTGTACACGATATTCCTGCAACAAATAGAGAAGTCACATATTAGGGTCGGTGATACTACGAAGTTGAACGGACAGCGCAAATCGAGTTCTCTCGATTCGGTCAAACTAAAATGTTCTGTCCTCGTCTCTGCTGCACTGTAAGGAATTGCCGATAAGAATTTCCAACAAAACCACTCGCTAAAGGCAATCTTCAAGCTCGCAGCCGTTAATATGGCCAGCTTTCCCAGACAACTGCAAGTGATAAGCAAATGTGCTTGAAAAAGAAAAATAGCACAACGTCCACTAATGTCCGAGGCACTGCTTTCTTTCCGATAAACCGTAACGTGTGCCTATTCTGCTAGGTCAGACGACCGCAAAGGTGAAACTTGAACAGCGAAATCTTTCGTAGAAGGAAGTGAAAGTTTAAAACCCGCCATTGGACAGTATCCCGAGCCACTTCGTGTCACAACATATTTATCTAAAATTTTCCCATTTCCTTCTCAATTTAGCCAAAATATTTTCCACAAAAATTATATATGTATTGAGCTACGTGCCCAATCCACACTTCATTGTTTACTCAACACTATGTCACTGGTACAAAGCACAAAGTTCCTCTCTATGAAGACCTGAAATTAAGTTGGGTGTACATACTGAACACAGCCCAGCGGGTTGGATACCGAATTTTAATCTCGTAGACCTGTGTTTTCGTTGTCCATATGAGAGTTGTACTTTGTCTTCCACTGTCAATCAGTAGCATGTTCCACTAACGATCCAAGCACATCTGTCACCACCCTGAGTTGTTCCACAGTCTGGACGAGCCACGTTGATACTACCGTTGTCCGGCGATTTTGAACTTAATATGCATGAAGTGTAAAGAAGCTAGCTCACTACAAGGATTGAAATCTTCTGAGATAAGACGCCACGTACTTTTATACGTATTTCGCTGCGGTGTTGCCTATTAAATGAAACCGATTATTTCTATCCATTCATTCGTCAAGCTAAGCTTAAATACGAATCGTAACTTACAACAGCAGTTAGATTAGTAGCTAGACTCAAACGTAAATGTTGCACCTTTCAAAAGAATTTCAGAACATCAGAACTGTATATACGTAAACCCCGCGACTGTACCATATTAGAAAGGCAGCTAAATCCTCTCCAGATCCGACGACTTCAAGATCATTATCTGTGATCGAATTACTTAAGTGGTCTGTTTCTTTTAATTTTTCAGCTTATAATATTGTATCTTATCCTTGCGTGCTACATGTCTCATCTAATCCTCATTCATGCTATCACCCTAATGACCATTTAAAAGTACAAATTACCATGCTTTGTCCTCGTCACCTCCTCTCTTGTATGGCCTTCAATAATCTATTGTGTGCACAAACCAAATTACTTCATGCAGTCGATCTAGGCCTTTCCTTAAAACTGCTGTTAAGGTTAAGTGGCAGCTGCGGGTGTTTAAACAAGAAGATCAACTCTGCAGATTATTAAAATTTCCAGTTTGGGTAATCGATGTTACATATTTAAACATGCTGTTGTACGCTCGGTCTTGTCTAAGGATTCGTAAACCTTCTGCCTGACTCCCATTCCTATACAGCCAGCAAGAAGGGAGTAGCAGGAACTAGCCCAAGTATCGCCAAAGTTCATCATTGTCTGAAAACAATGGCACGGACACTGCCGGGGTGAGTTCCACCCTGGCTACAGTTTACTTTAGTCCTAGTCCAGAAGATAAGTCTATTGTTCAATTCATTTCAATGCTTCTCTAATCAGAACACGAGTTTCCATTGTCTGCAGTTATATTAGTAAAGTTGCCAATGGCTACTAGCGTGGGATATTGGTGGGATTTGTTTCTCCAACAAGTTTATCTGCTTGAATCGAATGTTGTGCACAGGTGCGCTGTTGGCTCCATGTAGGCCTAGAGTGTGTACAGAAAACTAGCAAACATATGTGTCCATGTACCTCGACACTTTGTTACGGCCGTCACAATGATATGTGAACGGAAAATGCGACGCGCCGACAGCAGATTCGTGTGTCATCGCCCTGACGATGGTGCCACCAAAAATCTATAATATATTTAAACTTGTAAAAGACAACACGATGATTTTACCCAGAAGACAGCCATCTTCAGGTTTAGTTTTGGTTCGTATCGACTTAACGCAATAAATATCACAAAACAAATTCACCTGTAAAAACGAGTGATGGCATACTACAGCATCTAAAATTATAAATAGTTTTAATATGATACACACACAAACACAGAAAATAATTCCATATTTTGCAATTTCACATTTGCAGTGTGACTAGTTTTGTAACAATTAATCTGGATCTGCAATAAATTAAATTTATACCAATGACGTGGGCAACGGGTTTGGAAATTATGCCTGTCCCACTAGCGTGTATTTGTTATTATCGTCTTTTCTTTCACTTATTAGTGATGACTCAGAACAGCTTTAGAAAACTTCGACGAAGATTTAGAGCCCAAATTATATACTTTCACTATTACAAAAATATGTAGCATGTAGAATATCGTTATATGAAGCCAAATGAAACGAAATCTCAATATAATACAAAGCTGTATATGAGTTTGCTGGACCGATATAGCGCTACTATTTTTCTCTAGGGTATGTTACAATATATTTTAATCAATTTCATTTTTATACTCACGTGATTGATAACGTCCCCCTGCCTTTTTTTAAAAAGAGCGAGTAATGGATGTTTCAATTAACAATATTCATCAGTTGCTTTTGATGGGATAATAAATGAAACCTCGGAGGCAGTTTCAGACCAGATGACATCATTGCGCCCCTATACTCTTGCAGTTGTAACAGATCACGTGATAAATGAAGGTCGTGATAAGCACGTTGTATAGCCCGGGACAGATAAATCTGCTACGACCTGAGAGAGAAAAAGGTGGTCTGCCCGCGGGGACAGAAAGGCACAGAGGGAGGGGGTGAATAAACGGGGAAGGACAATTACTGCATATACGTATATGCGACAGTTAATCTACCTCCAGTACCCGAAATGGAAATATGTTTTAAAGAGAGGTGGCTATCTTCTGGATTTTAACGCCGTGCAGTCTGGTAGAAGTCCCTTTAAATACTTCTGAAGTTGACAACGGCGTACTGTGGGCAGGGAACAGCAGAGATTTTTTCGGAACAGCGTAAACACTTCAGGATTATTGAGGCAGCTGGACTGCTACATATAATGTTAGCAGCAACTGCTAAGAGCAGAGTGACGACGTAGCAAGAGCAATGATGGAAGAGTGGGAGATACGGTGTAGTGGGGACTGTTTAATTTTCGTGGTTCTGCGTCGCGGCAAATTTTTTGGTACAAGCTCTCTTCCCAATGGACAATGCGGCCCAGTGTTCCTTCGGCTCAAGACGGTACTCGCGATAGCTTTACATTCACATATGAGCAGCGGGTGGTACTCGCAATGATAAAACTCAACACTTACAGATATTACATACAAAGAGACTTCCCGATCAGGAACCAGGAAAAATTAAGCCATGTGTACGCTGAAAGAAGGTATAAATTATGAAGTGTTTCAAAAAAAGTTTACCAAGTTCTTCAAAAACTTTCATACAAGTGGAAAGTTTTTCAGCTGATCAAAATATTCGTTCATTTTAGCACAGACCGAAGGTCTACGAAAGTATTGTGAAAGGTGGCTAATGGAACCCACACCGAGCCACTTCAGGCCAGTTTACATTACAGACATTGCTTCATTATCATCTTTTCGATAGAATCCTGAGTCCTGCAGGAGCAGTCTGCAATCGAACTTTAAACATTTTTATTCAGTCTTACTCATACTAATTATAACAATAAAGGCGTTCAGGATTCACAAACACGGAAAACAAAGTATTATAAACGTCAGTGTGTAATCGTCATCGCATTATCTTATAGCAAAATTGTGTTCGACTCATATCTCATAACAATTAATGTAAGGTAAAAAAAATAATAATAAAAGTCAGACCAAACATATTGTAAAGAATGCGGAAAAATGTAGTTTAATCACTTCACTAAACTAATTATAAAATGGAAATAATACAGATTAGTATATTAGACGCCGACATTAAAGCATTTCGGCCTTAGCAGACTGACCGACCCGCTGACTCTGTTCTTTGCATTTTTGACATTACATCTCCAAATATATAGATGTAAACTCTGCTCTTCGAATTTGTTATTACAAGTCAACTTTCAGGCTTACATCTGGTTCACTCGCAGCTCCCAGAAGGCGAGTTCATAAAACAAAATTGTCCTTGAAACTTGATTCATCTTCATCATCGTGCCCCAGATAAGAGCTCAGCTTCACACTGTATTAATCTTGACAATCGATGCAGGAGTGTGGTCAAATTCGCGCCCCGGCAAAGGAACTTCCGGTAACGACTGGGGTGAAGGCCAGTGGAGTTCCAGAGTCACATCCCATGCGATGGCAAATGGAAAATTATCTGCCTCGAACCCCGGTCGCCCAGCCTATCGCCTTACTGCACTGAGATAACCTGTCCAGCAGATCGCCTTATCACTGCACTGAGATAACCTGTCCAGCAGACAGAAATTATGTGCAGCGAAGAAGATGTCGGTGAGTCGATACTGTGGGTTATAACACTGTGCAGTTCCTCTGAAACTCTGGTATCTACTTGTAAGTCCATATGGTGTTAAAACCACATTATGAAAATCGACATTCTGCGTATCTGATTAAGAAGGAAATTACATTCCGGCAAATGTCAGTGACTAATTAACGGATACGATATTTCCAATTCGTTTATCGACTTACCATTCGACATTGCTTAACTTGAGCAACCGATGAAGAAACATTGTTAACTAATCCATAAATCGATCAATAAACAATATACCCAATGGCCGTTCCTCCAATATTTGTATGTGTGCCTACTTTTATAATTTATCAAGAAATACGCAATTCGCCATTTTTTGACAAAATTGTGAACATTTTTCTGAGGCCGTTGCTATAATTTTCTGAACCACGCCTGAATCTTCTGAGATTCAACATCGAAATTTGGTGTTCCGTTTAATTTCTCCCT